TAAAACATTAAGTTACATAAATTAATTTTTAAAAAGTCCCCAAACGGGCCACTTTATCAAAAGCCTTTAAATTTGAAAACAGGTATTATTTTATTCACAGATTCTAAAATGAACAATTTTTTCACATTTTGATAGCTCTGAAATTAGAGTGGTTTATAGCTGATGGCCAACAAATTTATTTAATGGTACATAAAATACATGTAATGGGGTTTCTTCATACAGTGTCTTGGACTCAAGGAATTGCTTAGGAAAGCATAAGATAGTGACAGTTTCCTCCATTTTTTTACATGTAAAAAATGGCACAGGTCTGCCTCTACCTGGGTGCCAGTCAGGCCTCCCCAGGGTGCAATCCAGCCCATCTCATGTGTGTAACATGTCCTGATCCTCAAAGCTGAGGGGATGTGTCCCTTCTTTGGAGAGTTTTTATTGTCTGTAGCACATATTTTCTGTTTCTCCATATAAGCATTTTTGATGCTCTTCTGAGACTAATTAATTAAATTTTATGCTATCTTATCACCTTTTAAACATCACTGGAGATTTCACTGGTGTAGCTTTCCTTAGATATTAATAATGACAAAACCAGTTGACATGTCAAGGTGGATGGGGTGGGGGAAATGTCATGGGGACCCACATCAAGATAAAGAGCTACAGGCTATCAATGGATGCTGAGGGACAGAGAATCACTTTTCTTCAGGGACCAGCTTCCTGAGAGATTATCTAATCCCAAGTGGGCAGCCCTAAGCACAGGTATAAATGGACTCAGCGTAATAATAATAATAATAATGTTGCTTGAGTCACTGAGTTTGTGGTAATTTCTTACAGCAGCCAAAGGAAGCTACTATACCACCTGACCATCTGCAAGAATTACACACCAGCTTATCCTAGGTCCACTTCCTGATTCCTGCAGCTGGATGTAACCTCTTCCTCTCTTGGGCCTCTCTTAGAGCATTTACCTCATTTGATGGCATAGGATAAGCATTAGGTTCAGATTTTCACATCCCCTTTTTAGATATTAGCAATAGGAACTCAATTCTAACTCGTTTAAGCAAAATGAATTAAAGGCTGGTGATATAGTTCAGTGGGTAAAGCGCTTACCAAACAAGTGTGAGGATCTGAGTTCGAATCCCCAGAACCCAGGTAAATCCAAACGTGGTCAAAAAGATCTGGTAATGTTAGTTGACTCTGTAGTGAGACGGGAGATAGAGCCAGGAAAATTCATAGGCCAGCAAGCCTGGCAAGTGCAGTGCAGCTCCAAACTGTCATCTGATCTCTTTATACGTGCTGTGGAACACACACACACACACACACACACACAATGATAATAAAATATAATTTACTGAGTCATGCAAATTGAGGTCAGAATGCAGCTTCAGGAAAACTTGGACCTAAGGGCTCAGTGTACTCAACTTTGGGCTTCACCTCTTGGCTCTGCTGTTTGTTGCCTTGGCTTATTTCCCAGAAGACGTTCTGTGTCAAGGTTAGCCACAGTCAGCTCCAAGCTTACAGTCTACCAGTTTAGCAATTGTATTGAAATACTGACTTTCCTAATTATTTCAACAATGATTTCAAGATTATACTGTTCTGTCCTGTTCTGGAGCATGCCCCCACAAATTCTTCTGGCTAGTGGAATGGAATTGGCTCCACTAGGCCAGGCTTGAGTCAGAGTTATCAGACTAACTCGCTTCAATTTGCTTATTACTTTCCTTGCTTTACATTAAAAAATATCCCACACCCCAGGAAAATACTCAGTAGGAAATAAGACAGCTGGTACCTTAGGAATCCACTCTGCAGATGAGGGAAGTTGCTAGATCTCGCCTTACTGAACTCCCTTAGGCTGAAAAAAATGAAAGTGGGCGGCTCTTTTAGAATTTTGCAACGGCTAGGAAAAGGCCAAAGGAATGCCAGGCAGGCACAGCAGCAGGCACACTCCCTGAATTGGAGGTCCTATGAAGGTAGGCACTAAATAGTAATCATTTCCAGTTTTTTAAAAAAACTTTGCTATTCGCATAGAAATGCCTCAAAAGAATTTGTGTTGTTTCTTCCAGTTTATAAATATTTAGGGAAAAACAGAATGAAGATACTCATGGTGGTTTACACAGAATCATCTTCAGCATTGAAGTGTAGTGGAATCTCAATTTTACCTGAGATTATTCAACTGTAATATCCCTTAAAATGGAATAGGTGGAACATTTTAATTAAGTGTACTTTCAAAATCACTAGAGTGCTAGGGTTCATAAGGTTCTTTTATCTCATAGTTACAATAAAACCCGAGTCGTGTTTTCTTTACATAATCATTAATATGTATTAGAAAACTGAACCTTAAAATATTCTCCCGAGATTTGATTCTACACAAGAAAATATTCTACATGAGCTTAGATTCACTAGTTTCTTTTCCGTAGTTGTTAAATTAGAATTGAACAGTTGACAGGAATTGTTTTTCTCTGGCCAGGGTGTGGCTTTTGCACTGAAACCTTTTTCCTGTAACTTCTGACCTAACTCCTGCCAACAATGAATTAGGCATTTAAAAATGGCATTAAAAAAAAGAGAAACTAAGACAATCACATAAAGTGTCTTTAACTTTGAAAACAGTAAGATTTTAAAAAATATTTTGAGTTAATGAATAAATGGGAAATCTTGGGTTCAGTTCATGGAAGTACAAGAAACTGCTTCTAACATGTTGCTTTTGAATTTGACATTGCCCACGGAGACAAAGATTTTAGTTTGTGTCAATTCAGTCAGGTCAGTTCTTCCTAGCACGTGCATCATCCATCTGTAAACACCAAGTTCCAACTATTGCCTAATTACAGTCTCTAACACAAAAATGAGTTTAAAGGCTCTGAATAGAAAATTCTTTGTTCAAAAGCTGAGATGAAAGAATAGTATAAGTGGATGTTATTCTTTGGCCTACCTAAATAAAACAACATTTATGTCAAAAATTGCATTAGAAATGAGGAATTTATATTACTATTGCATTTTCTTTTAGTTAAATTCCTAGAATAAAACCATAGTGAACATTTGGTGAACTTTCCAGCATTCATTCCATCTCATTCTTACTGAGGAAAACAAACAGTTTGGGAAAAACAATTTGTGTCCACTGCTTAAGTGTGGATTGCATAATTGGTAATTACACATTCTTTGTGGACTTGTAATTGGACATGTGACACAAGAACTAGTCTAGCTAAAGTAAAGGAGATGGTGCTACTGAGTCAAAACAAAACAAAACAAAACTCTGCAAGTCACTCTATCACACAGTGACCATGAACATTTTTTTACAAAAGGTCAAAAAGTTCCTGTAGTTATCTTTACCAGTCAAGAAACTAGATGCCTAGTCTATTAAACAGCCAAGTAGAAAGTTAGGAAGAGCACATGAGTGACATTCCTGAGTTGCTAATTCAACCAGTTCTGAAGTGTGCCTCTCCCTCTGGTTCTCGTTCCACAAGAAAATAAATAACCCTTGTCATTTATGTTTATTTGACACAGAACTTCAATTATGGTTGACATAGCAAATATTTGGTGGATAACATTAGTCTAGTGTCAAAAGGACCTTTATGTGTCATTTTGTCCCTTTGTTCTTGACCACTTTATCTTACACAGATCTGCCTGCCTCTGCCTCCTGAGTGCTGGGATTAAAAGTGTGTGCCACAACACCCCACATACTACCTACATAACTCTCAATTTTGTCTGCATTTTAACAGAAGGGGACAATAAATCTGGAACCCCTTAAAGATCTCATTAAGTCCAACAACAACGGAGTATTTCAATTCAGGGAACACCCCACATACTACCTACATAACTCTCAATTTTGTCTGCATTTTAACAGAAGGGGACAATAAATCTGGAACCCCTTAAAGATCTCATTAAGTCCAACAACAACGGAGTATTTCAATTCAGGGTCAGCTTTTGGCATTTCAGATACAAAAAGAAAATGATACTATCCTTTCTGTCTACCATGCCCAGGCAACAACGCAAATATTAAATAAGCACATCTCTGGTAACTCAGCTAGTAAGTTTAAAGTTGCAATATACAACTGTCTGACTAAAATTTGAAGGAAAATCAGCCTGATAAATGGCCAAACAAACTGACGATCTGCCCACCCTGCCTCCCCACTCCAGGAGGCATCTATCTAAGAAAACAGGGCCTCTAGCCTAGACATCTGGCTTCTTATCAGCCTCTTTGCAGGTCTGGTTCCTTACCAAGCACCTTGCAGAAGATACCTGGTTGTCCTATCAGAATGCCCCATTTCTTCTTCCCAGATTCTGGGAAGGGGCAGGACCCACCTTCTGGGATTCTGGGAAGGTACAACCCCTTTCTGGGATTTTCTGGGCCGATTTCATCTATAAATCCGCAACCCCCACCCCACCTCCATTCCAACTGGAATGTTGCTTGTCCCTTGTGGCTAATAAAGCTATCTGCAATTGTTGAGGTCAGTTTCTACTTCTTTATTACGTTGCCTTTTAAATCCTGAATTCTAAAAATTCCTATTAAAGGCAGGAGCACAGTTTCACATACATAAGTGTCAAAAGACGAAATTACAACAAATTTCATGTGAAGATTCTGACTTTTCTTTGGGATTGTAGAATCAGGTAAGCCCTCATTCTAAGCAGAATGAATGTCTAGATGAGCTGATTAGAAGAGGGTGGTTGGTTTTATAAACAGAAATGGGCTCGAGAACGCAGAAACAAGACTACAAAATGGTGAATTTAATTATTTCAAAGCTTCTTTCTTTGTAAAGTAGAAAGCAGAAGGAACTTCCTTGTCTGGCGGCCAAAAACTGGGCGCCACTACTAGGATGATTTAAAAAAAACACGGTGGGAGAAGGAGGAGCAAACCTTTTCCCCAGCTCCAATTCAACTCCACCTGTCTCCAAGTGTGATATGAGCCTAGCCAATCAGAAAGGGCGTTACATTTCCAGTTGGCTACCGCATCCAATCCCGGTGCTCGTCTCAGCCTCCGCCGCGGGGCCGCAGTCGCTGCGCAAACTCTGAGCGCCCCCAGCAGCTGGAGTCTGGGGCCTACGAACCCCTGCGGAGGGGGCGTCGGCTACTGCGCAGGCGCCGCAGGAAGCGAACTGTAGAGTCGCTCTCCCACGGGTACCCCCTTGCCCGCAAGGACCCCGGAACTCGCGGTTCCGCTAGCGCCAAGTTCCGCGCGTCGGAGCGAAGCGGCAGCGGCGGCGGGTGAGTCTGAGTTGGTGCGCCCACGGATCTGGAGGGAGATGACAGTCCCTTCCTCTGTCCGCTAAGTGTTGAAAATACGGAGACCGTCTAGCTCCACGCACACGGACACACGCTCCCGGGTCCGCCGGGGGTGGGGACGCCCGTGGGGGGACCGGGGGAGGCAGGGTGATAGCAGGAGGGGGAGGTGAATGAAGCTCCAGCAGGTGGGTGTGAAATCGGGAGGGCAGCGTGATGTCAGGGTGAAGCGAGAAGTTGGGGATTGGGGTTCAGGGGGGAAGGCGTGTGGGCGGGGATGCACAACCTCCTGAATGTCTGGTCCCAGATCTTCTTATTCCTAGATGGCTCTCTGATACCATTCCTGTCCTACAAAACAAGCCATCCAAACAGCCAAAGATGCTGGAGACAGTGTCAAGCGCTTTGCGAACAAGCGCTTGCTTTGCTGGTCCCAATGCTGTGAGATAAAAGCGTCCTGTTCTGACCGACCCTGAAAGCCTGGTGCAGAGCAGAGAAAGGACTTCTCCAAGACCATACAGCTAGTGATGAGAACATTCACTAGCTCAGGACCCGAGACTTGAACACTTGCCAAGAATTACAGGAAATCAGTATTATGGTTTCCTTTTCTAACCATTTTTCCAGATTGTCTCTGTTTTAAGGAAACAGGGAGCTTTCGATCTCTCTGCAAGATTTTTAATTAGCTCTACACAATATAATTTGAAAATTTTTTTTTTGGAAATACAGAGAATACTTAAAAGGGCATTTTATACGTAGTAAGATAAGTGTAACTGTCTTGGAGATGCCTTAGAAAATTAAAGAATATTTAGAATCCTAGAATCTTTAAGACTGAGAACGTTTTCCAGGGAGTTTATATTTACTAATCAAAATCAACAAGAACCACCTAAGTTATCTGTGTACACAGATAGTAATGGATAATGCAATTTTACATAAGTGTTTCATTGTATTACAGAGCAGATGGCAAGCGACTTGCACCATATCCTTTTCCAACCCAACTGTAAATCACCCAGGAATGAGAGTTCACTGATAGGATTTCTATCTGGGCAAGATAGTCAACCCAGAGGAGACAGGAGGTGTTTTGTCTGTTGAACTGGGGACTACATCATAGAGATACTTGGTTGCAGCTCAGATGTGCCTGTTTTTTAATTCCCTTCCTGGTTGTTTTAAAAAAATATTTTTATTAATGTGCATGAGGGTTTGTCCTGAATGTATGTAGCTGTACCTGTGTTTCTGCAATACCCACAGAGGCCAGAGGAAGGAGAAAGGGTTGGATCCCCTGGAACAGGAGTTCAGGATGGCTGTTAGCCGACTTGTGGGTGCTGGTAACCAAACCTGAGTCCTCTAGAAGAGCAGCCAGAGCTCTTAACTGCTGAGCCAGCTGTCCACCCCCTCCTTTCTCTTTGTTTTTGCTGTTTGTTGGTATGAAAATTACAGAATTTCTATCGGTATTTTATAGTTTCATTCCTTGGAACCATGGCTTTTTCATCCCATGAAAATAGTTTGAGAACTTTTTTTTAATGGTGTTTTGTATACAGCTTAAGACTCATCATTAGAGGAGCTGGAGAGATGGCTCAGTGGTTAAGAGCACTGGATGTTCTTGCAGAGGACCTGGGTTCGATTCCCAGCACCCACATGGCAGCTAACTCCAGTTCCAGGGGATTCTGACGCCCTCTTCTGACCTCCCCTGGCATTGCACATCACAGGTGCAGTTAACATACATTGCACTTACATACATGCAGGCAATAGACAGACATAAAATAAAAATAAGAAATAAAATTTAAAAAAGACTCATCATTAGAATGAAACAGTGTGGTAGATGTGGACTCCTATACTGCTAATGAAAGATGTGACAGGTCAAGTTCTGTTAGTATTGTGGAGATTGTTGCCAGACTTGTTAACTCAGAAATATACTGCTGCACTTGTTAAGTACATGAAGTTAGAGTGTGATAAAGCTGCTAATTACCTTCTGAGCTCAATATTCAGTGGACTTCAGTGTCATTGTATGTAAACAGAGATTAAGACTATTGAATTTTTCCTAATTGATCACAAAATCTGCATCTGCATACTGACTGCCTCTTTCATTTACTGTAACACTTCAAGGCTTATCCAAGTCATAGCACATTTCCATACTTTATTCCTAATTATTGACAAATATCTCATTATCTATATATACCACATTTTATCTATTTATAGATTGATTGATATTCGGGTTGCTTCTACTTTTTGGCCTCTTAATAATAATCCTGCTGTGAATATGCATATGCAGGTTTGTGTGGATATGTCTTCATTTCTCTTGAGCATATACCTGCTAGAATTTCTGGGTCTTATGGTGACTATATTTAGCCTTGTGAAGAATTGCCTGATTTTTTTTTTCAAATTCACTGTACCATTTTACATCCTAGTATTAGTAACTTTTCTGTTACTGTGAGAAAACACCATGACCAAGGCAGCTTATAGAAGGAAGAGTTTATTTGGCTTATGGTTCCAGAGGGGAAGAGTCCATCATGGCGGGAGGCATGGGTGGAGGCAGCCGAAGAGGAAGCTGAGGGCTCATATCTTCAGTAAGGCACAGGAAGCAGAGAGACAGAGACTAGAAATGGGTATGGCTATGAATTCTCAAAGCCCCCCAAGATGTGCTTTCTCCAGTAAGGCCTCATCTCCTAAAACCTCCGAGAATAGTGCCACAAACTGGGGACAAAGTGTTCAGATACTTGGAACCTATGGGGGACATTTTTCATTCAAACCATTACACATCCTCATTAGCAATTTATAAAAATTTTGCTTTCTCTTTGTATACTTTCCAACAGTTGTTATAGTCATCTTGTTTTATTTAACCACCAATAGGTGAAGTGCTTTTTCAGTAGTTTGATTTGCATTTCTTTAAAGACTAATGATGTTTAACATTTTTTACATATTTATTTATCATCTATATCTTCCTTTTAGATCTTTTGCTTATTTTAATTGGATTCTGTTTGGTTTTATATTATTGAATATTATTTAGTTGTAACAGTTCTTTATATATTACTCATCCGATTCATGGTTTGAAAATATTTTCTTCCCAGTTCTGTGGTTGTCTTTTCACTTGCCTGATGTTGTTGTTTGAAGTACACAACTTTAAAAACATTTGATTAGGTCCATTTTTCTTATCCTACCCCTCATCTGTCAGTTTGTCGTCTATATTGTGGGCACAGCATTTGCCATAATCAGTTGTTAAAATTCACTGCCATATTTTCCTCCAAGAACTCCCCAACTTTAGCACTTCCCTTAAGTCTATGATCATTTTTAAGTTAATTTTTCCATGTCGTAGAAGTTGAGGCCCCATATTAATTCTTCGGCATGTGACTATCCTGTTGTCCTTGTACCATTGGTTGAATTCCTTTACGTCTTAGAGGTGACTACTGGAAATTTTTAGACACATTATAATATTCCATTTGTGAGAGTTCTTCTGAGGGCTTACTTTTACAAAACTTTTTTTTTATGGTGTATTAATCTCAAGGACAGTGTTACAGAGAAGTCGTGTTGTAAAACAGACTTAATCTAGGTTTAAAGCCTGTCTTTCTTTTTCCAAGATGACATCATGGTTCATTATTTTGGTTATTAATGCTCCTGTTTTGAATATGACCTATTTAAATATAAAGCCTTCCTTACCTGGTACATGATGCATGCATATATTTTTGTGTTATGGGCTTAGTAGATATATATTAAATGAGGTTTTTAAAATAATTGAAAATACTTTTATTGATTCTTTGAGAATTTCATACAGTGCATTTTGGCCCGACTCTGCAAGCAAGATCATCTGAATGATTTTTATTTGCTTTTGTTTTTTTTTGAGACACGGTCTCCCTGTAGCCCTAGCTGACCTGGAACTCGCTATGTAGACCAAGCTGGACTTGAACTCACAGAGATCCTGCCTCTGCTTCTTTATAGTGCTGCGATTAAAGGCATGCACCACCAGGCCAGACTTAGATTTTTGTTTGATTTTCCTTTTTAAGACAGGGTCTCAGTACATAGCCATAGCTAACCTGGAACTAGCTGTGCAGACCAAGCTGGCATTGATATCACAGCGATCTGCCTGCTTCTACCTCTGGAGTACTGGGATTAAAGGTGTGTGCCACCATGCCTAGCTTTGAATGACATTTTTAAAAGTGGCTTAAAAGAGCATCTGAACAAAACTTCAGAAGAAAGTATGTAGAAGACGAAACTTTAGGATGTTCTGGAAACACAAACGACTTTTAAAATTTATTTTAATTTTATGTGTATGAGTGTTTTGCTTGCATGTACATCCACCTGTGTTGTGCAAAGCCCACAGAGACTAGAAGAGGGTATTGAATCCCTTGGAACTGGAGTTAGCTGCCATGTAGGAGCTAGGAATTGAACCAGAGTCCTCAGGAAGAACAATCAGTACTCTTAACCACTGAGCCATCTCTCCAGCCCTGGAAACTATAACTGAAGTGCTATTGTGATAACTGTCACCAATATGAGTGTTTATCCTCCACACGTCACTGTTAATAGAGCTCAGACATGTGACAGTGAAGGATGGTGAAAATTTCAGAATGGAAATTGTTTCTGTGCCCACTTGACAGTAATTTACAGTAGTTTGGACCTGGATACTAGAGGGGCTTGGGTGCCAAATAAGATGTTTGGAACTTTTTAAAAATGACCCTTTGAGTATTTCTTAAGGGAAGTGTCATGAATAGAGCCTCCCGGGAAGATTAAGTTGGCAGCAGATGCTGACTACAAAGTGGGTGAGCTAGGAGACCCAAGTGCTCCAACCAGAGGGATCAAAGACTTCCAGGAAGATAGCATCAATGGAGATGGGAAAGAGGACAGCCTCCTTTAACCCTCGGGCTTCCATGCTGGTAGCTGACCAGCCTTTGCCTACTCTAGCCCTCTCCTCTTACAGCGGAAGAGGCATCCTGCCCATGTACTGTAAAACTCATTCTGCCTACATCACATACCTTACTTAGACCAAGGAAGGTGGAGAGGGAAGACAGGAATACTTAGGTGAAAGTGATTTCTGTAACCAATGAATTTTTTTATTTATTATTTTTATTTTATGTGAGTATTGCCTGCATGTATGTAAGTGCACCCCTGTCGTGTAATGCACATGGAGGTCAGAAGAGGGTGTCAGATCACCTGGAACTGGAGTTATAATGGTTAACTGCCATGTGGGTACTGGGAACCGAACCCAGATCCTCTGCAAGAGCAGCAGCTCTTAACCACTGAGCCATCTCTCCAGCCCCCAATGGATTTTTTTTAAAGTGATTAGGAATATCTCTGAACCTAGTCCACTTGGAAAAGTAGTCACGCTTTTGACAATAAAATGGAAGTTAAAGGGGGTATAGTGATGAAATTGATTTCAGTAAGTATTGAGATTTTTCAGAAGTTACTGTGGTATCCAAGTCTCCATAAGCTTTGTCTGTTAGTCAACTTCATGTGAAATTAGAGCAAGTGCCAGTTAAATTGAGATCGTTTTCAGCATTTATGTTTTCAGTCACCTGCTTTATATCAGTATTTCTAAACTCAAGTTGGTAATGATCCAGTGTGGTAGAATGTCCACTGACTGTTTATATAGACGAAAAACTGCTGGTAGGTAGTAGACCAGTGAAAGGGCCTCTGAAAACTTGGAATTATTTGTATTTTGAACAAAAGAATCATTTTTATGTCTTCATCTGTTCTTAAGCTTTTAGAGTAGTTTCTGTTGCTTTAGATGCTACAGACAGGAGTATTTATGGAGACAAAAGAATGGCCCATTTTCCCTTCAGAGCTTGACAGATGGACCGTACATGTATCGATAGGAAACTGGATATGTAAAGGAATTTTTCTGTATTTCAACTCTTATTTTTAAAGTAATGCTGAATTTTTAAGTTAGTATAGGTAAAGCTGACATGTAAAAGATTTGTAAATATTAATTATCTTGAGATGTAAATCCAAATCAAATAGCATTACAGTTTTATGAATTGTGGTTGTATATTTTAGGAGCCCTGACTGCTGTATTCAGCATCTTCATTATGAAGTTGTTAGTGATACTTTTGTTTCCGGGACTCATCACTAGTTGTGGAGGTGACTCTTCCTATGGTTTGCCGCCCAAGTTACTACTGGTGTCTTTTGATGGCTTTAGAGCTGACTATCTGAAGAATTATGACTTTCCTCATCTCCAGAATTTTATCAAAGAAGGTGTCTTGGTGGAGCACATTAAAAATGTTTTTATCACAAAAACATTTCCAAACCACTATAGCATTGTGACAGGCTTATATGAGGAAAGCCATGGCATTGTGGCCAATTCCATGTATGATGAAGCCACTAAGAAACATTTTTCTGAATCTAATGATAAGGATCCTTTTTGGTGGAATGGGGCAGTGCCAATTTGGGTGACTAATGAACTTCAGGAAAACAGGTCAAGTGCTGCCGCTATGTGGCCCGGTACTGACGTGTCCATTCACAATACCACGCCTTCCTATTTTATGAATTATAGCCACTCAGTGTCATTTGAGGAGCGACTCAGTAATATTACCGCATGGCTCAGCAAGTCCAACCCACCAGTCACCTTTGCAACACTCTATTGGGAAGAACCAGATGCAAGTGGCCACAAGTATGGACCCGAAGATAAAGAAAACATGAGCAGGGTGTTGAAAGAAATAGATGACCTTATTGGTGACCTAGTCCAAAAACTCAAGATGTTGGGACTCTGGGAAAATCTTAATGTGATCATTACAAGTGATCATGGAATGACTCAGTGTTCTGAGAAGCGACTGATAAAGTTGGATCCCTGCATCGACCATTCAAACTACAGTGTCATAGATTTAAGCCCCGTTGCTGCGATTCTTCCTAAAATAAGTAAGTAGATGTTTAACTAAGGGATGCTTTTATTTGAATTGGGCAGTTGATTGAGGGAGGGAGGGTGTGTGAAACAATGCAGCTCTGGATTCATGTGGTTCAGGGTCGATACTCAAATTCAGAATGAGTGTTTTCTCGCTCTAATATACAAGTTTTGAGCAACTGGCATATGGGTTAGCTTTAAAGCAATTTTTCCTCTGCTTTTTGGATATATTCCTTAATTTACACTAAAATAGAAAAGATTTTTTTTTTGTCTTTTGGTAACAGGGTTTCCCTATAGCTCTAGCTGGCCTGAACTTGCTATGGAGACCAGGCTGGCCTTGAACTCACAGGGCTCTGCCTGCCTCTGCCTCCTGAGTGCTGCAATTAAAGGCCTCTGTGTGCCACCACATCAGGCCTTAGAAAAGAAAATTTTATCCTTAAAGACAGCTTGAATTTTACTGTGAGATACATACATTTCTTTTACTGACCATGGACTTGGTAATTAGTAGTAAGACATAGTTTATGTTTACTTAGGAAACTCAATGTGAAAATTGTCCCTTTTCTGAGTCAACTAGGATTATCCACAAAATGAGGAGAGATGTGAATTATTGAAAGGTTGAAAGTGTAAATGCACGCGTGTGTGCCTATGTCCATCTCTCAAACTGTCACACAATTATTCTTTGTTATTTTAAGAATTAAAAGCAATAGTAGGTAATACTGTACAGTTTTTAGTAGGTAGCATTGTATAATTTTTTATCCATTTCTGCTAGTTAGATGTATTTTTGCTTGTAAGTCATCTATGACATTCCCCTTTGGTATTCCCTTGCCTTTTTACAGATGTAACAGAGGCTTATGACAGACTGAAAAACTGCAGCCCTCACATGCATGTTTATCTCAAAGAAGATATTCCTAACAGATTTTATTACCAACATAATAATCGAATTCAGCCTATTATTTTGGTTGCTGAAGAAGGCTGGACGATTGTACTAAATGCATCATCATCAAAATGTAAGTATTTATTTAGGACATTTCTGTTGTAGTCAAAGGATTCAGCACACATTGTGACCATGTTCTACTCTGTGGGTGCTTTGATTTATATAAGGTCAATAAGTATCACCAGTTCAGCTTCCAAAAGATGATTGTTTTCATTTAATAGCAGTTTATAATAGCCACGGTTTCACTTTTAGATTCAGGGGTTGTGTAACCTTAATGGTGAAGCTATAGTCTGTCTGTCTTTCTTTTTTTTCTGGTCTTTTTGAGACAGGGTCTCCCTGTAGCCCCAGCTGGCCAGGAACTTACTATGTAGACCAGACTGGCCTCAAACTCATAGAGATCCTCCTGCCTCTGCCTCCCAAGTGGTGGGATTAAAAGCCTGTGCTACCATGACTGGCCAAGTTTCACTTTCCTAACAAAACTGTAGTTACTGTCAGTAATTTTCAAGATTGGGTCTCCTAATATTTAGGAAATAAAAGGGAAGTAAAGAAGTAAAGGGGACCAGATGAGCCAGCTCACATCCCTTTTCCTTGCCTATGTTTAAAAACATTTGTCTGAATAACCCCAGTGTCCCCTTAATGATGAAATCACTTCCTTGAATGCTGAGGTTATTTGGAACATTGGGCAAGAAGTGAAAGTAAACAAATCAAACAATTCACCAAGTTAGCAAAATAGATGCATTAAAATTTTTCCTCGAAGGTTGGAGAGATGGCACAGTGGTTAAGAGCACTGGCTGCTCCTACAGAGGACCTGGGTTCAGTTTCTAGCACCTACATGGCAGCTAACAGCCTTCTGTAACTCCAGTTCCAGGGGATCCAATGCCCTCTCTGACCTCTGCAGGCATTGCATGACACAGCTGCACTTACATGTAGGCAAGACATTCATACACATAAAATAAAAATAATAAATAAAATGCTTAAAAAATTTCCTCAGGGGGCTGGAGAGATGGTTCAGTAGTTAAGAACACTGGTTATTCTTACAGAAGAACTGGGTTCATATTCCAGCACCCACATGGCAGCTAACAACTGTCCGTTACTCCAGTCCCAGGGGATCCAACAGCCTCTTCTGACCTCCACAGGCATTGCATGACATAGGTGCACTTACCTACGTGCAGGCAATATACGCATACACATAAAATAAATAAATAAATAAAAATTTTTAAAATTTCCTCAAACATAAAATGTATAGGAGGTGAGTTACAGGTCTTGCCTCAAGTGAAGTTTATTTATCTATATTTTGTGTTTAATTTTAGTACTTAAAAAATACTTTTAAATACCTGGTAAGATGATAGAAATTTTCAGCTTTGTGAACCAAAGCTTGGCCTCAGCTCCTCACCTCAACTCTGTTTTCACATGTGGAAGCAGCTGTGGACAGTTGGTGAGCACACTGACGTGCTGTACGCTTTACTGAAAGCGGACTTACAGAACCAGGTGGGCACCAGATTCAGTTGTAGGCTATCATAGCAGATCCCTGATGTCTAGAAATTTAGAAGTATCAGGGAAGGATGGGGCAGACTCAGCATCAGTAAGTTTGTGTATTATTTATATTTATGTTATTTTATGTACTCATTTTTGTAAACTTTGAAAATATAGAAAAGACAAAAACTACCCATAATACCTCAATACAGAATGATAGACAAATGTTAATTGTGGGAATTTCCCCTTCTAATATTTTTCCATTAATGGATGTATGTATTTGAATTTTAATAGTATTGACCTCCTAATAGATTAATTCTTTTTGTCATTTTGATCCCATTTCATTTTGTTCTGAAAAATTTCAAATGTACAAAGAATTTCATAACCAACATCAGTATACTTTGTCAGCTAAAGTGGAAATTTATTAAATGCATGTGAAGACTAGGTATCCGGTTCATATCAGGCATCATGTTTTCCTTTGAGTCAGACTTTTACTGAAGTTACAAGTTGCAGTTAAGTGGTTCTATTTCACATTCAATACAAGAATGCTTTCTGTAAAATTCTTACTTGTCTGACCCTCCTTATTTTTGAGGTGTTTATTAACTGTTAGTAATCCAGTAATACATTATACTATGGTTTTGTGGGTTTGTTGGGTTTTATTGTTTGTTGTTTGTTTTTTGAGATAGGCCCTCTCTATGTAGCCCTAACTGGCCTGAAACTTACTATGTAGACCAGACTGGCCTCAAACTCAGACACCTGCCTCTGCCTCCCCAGAGCTGGGATTAAAGGCGTGTGCCACCACCCACCATACCAGGCAACATTTTATTTCTTGTTTTGTTTTGTTTTGTTTTGTTTTGTTTTGGGAGAGCGAGGCTCTGCTTATTGCCCCAGCTGGCCTGGAATTCACTGTGTATACGAGGCTGGCCTCATCTCACAAAGATCCACCTGCCCCAACCTCCTGAGTGGGATTAAAGGCGTGTTTTTGTTTTGGGAGAGCCAGGCTCTGCTTATTGCCCCAGCTGGCCTGGAATTCACTGTGTATACAAGGCTGGCCTCGATCTCACAAAGATCCACCTGCCCCAACCTCCTGAGTGGGATTAAAGGCGTGTGCCATTACACCAGGCACCATAGTATTTCTTACAAAAGCAACTGAGGTGCTTGTCTGAAGACCCTTTTCTTCCTTGTTCCATTCAGTGGTCTTCTGCTCTCCTTAGTTGTATAGGACCTTTGGCACTTGACAACTTTTTTTGTTTTTAAAACCACTGGTGCTGTTCGTAGTGAGCTTTTGCAACTAACACTGGAGATTGACAGGTAAAGTAAGTGGGATAGGGCTGAAAAATCAGCACATAAGAAGTTGTGTTACAGTCTAAAGCCATGGCCCCTTGAGCAAAGATGTGCATGCATGTGAAGTAAGGGTCATGGCTAAGCTGACGGAAACACAGGTTTTCCTTGCTGGCTTCTGTTTGGTCAGCCAACGAGAATCCTAATGAATGGGGAAGTGGCTGGCAAAAGTTGGTGGGTTTATAGTAGCACGCTGTTTGAATAGAAAAGCTGATCCTATTTAATAACAAACTCTTGTTCTTTTTCAGTAGGTGACCATGGTTATGACAATTCCTTGCCTAGTATGCATCCATTTCTGGCTGCCCACGGTCCTGCGTTTCACAAAGGCTACAAGCATAGCACCATTAGCATTGTGGATATTTACCCAATGATGTGCCACATCCTGGGATTAAAACCACATCCCAATAATGGAACCTTTGGCCATACCAAGTGCTTGTTAGTGGACCAGTGGTGCCTTAAACTCCCAGAAGCCATTGGAATTGTTGTTGGTTCGCTACTGGCATTAACCATTCTAACGGGTCTTATAATAATTATGCAGAACAGACTGTCTACAACCCGTCCATTTTCCAGACTTCAGCTTCAGGACGATGATGATGATCCTTTAATAGGGTAATGTCCTGGGGTTTATTCACATATCCTGATTACTTTCAAAACTAAGGATCCACACACAGAATGGTGTTACAAGAATAATATAGACTATTTCAAAAGACAACTTAAACCAAACATGCTAAAATTCTTTGGTTTTTCTTTGTGTTTTGTTTTGGTGTGTTACCTTATACAAATAACCCAGACAGTAGTAGAATTGCTGATAAATCAGTTAAAATCATATATTTCACTAGCTAGAAATAGCTTTTGAGAAAAATACTTCATCTGTCCTTTTTTTTTTTTGCAGTGAAGATACATCTTATAAATGAAAACTCACCAGAATTTAATAGGCATGCATTTCTTAAAAAATTATATATTTGTAAATGACACAAAAGAAATATTTATCTAATTTGTGAATTTTGTGTATCTCAGAGAAAGTTGACTATATTTTTATATTTACCTTTAATTAGTTTGGATTCCAAGTAAACCCTTGATGTAGAAATTCTCTGATGGTTGATAGAATTGATTGACCACATAGCAGAACTGTGGCATATAAAGAAATCGTCTTAAGCAAAGCTGCTATAAACAAAACAAAACCAACTAAGACTATGTGATGCAAAGCCCGAATTTGTTGAGACCTTTAAGCTGTTGAAGAATCAAGTTTTATCTTTTAAGTTGGGCATGTTGGGGCACACCTGCAATCCTGGTCTTTTGAAGGATGGACAAGATCTGGAATTTGAGACCAGCCTGGGCTATGTAGCAAGACCTTGTTCAGGAAGGAAAAAAGAAAAAAAAGAAAACTTCAGAGATTATTGCTAATAAGAAATTCAGAAGAAAATAGAGAAAAGTGTTTCGTTCCTATTTGTGTAAGGTGTATGTGGGAGTGTGTGTCTGCCTGTGGAAGTGTGCAGGTATTACTTGAGTTAGAGAGGAGGAAGTCAGGTATGTGACTTAGAGAGGATGCTGTCGGGACTGGACTGTGGCTGAGCTTCCATTCTCCCCATGACACAGATGTCAGGAAAAGTGCAGCTTGCAGGAAAGGTGATGTTTTATACTTCTTATTTTTTCCTTTCTCCGAATCACTTGTTAATATTATAATGAAAAACTCATTTATTTCTGTTACAATTTCAACTCTCAAATTTATTGGAAGTACTAAAATGTAGAAAAATTTATGACCTGAATATAAACCTGACTTGGCCAGAATTTTTATATTTGCCTTTGGAACTTTTTAATTACTCTTTAGATGGTAGAGTATTAAGAAATTTAAAATGGAATTTAGTATATTTTAGTCTTTGTACTAGTCATATGCTAAATGGCAGAATAGCTTAAGCCTCCCAACTGTTTTATTGAGTATTTGGATCATGAAATTGTTACCCTGCCCATCTTTTAACATACTTGTTCAGAACCAAAGAGTTGTTGTGAAAGGCTGCCATGATACCTGTGCTAGGTCGTTCCTCATAATCAAAATCATAATGGACAAAGAGTGTGGCAGCCTGGTTGATATCCATTAGGGAAAAGACCTGAGACAGTAGTGTGAAAGTTTTGACAATATAAAAAACTTGGGTCCTGCTCTTCAGATACATGTCTGATCTACAGTAAGCATGTAGCTTACTTATCTGTGCTTATGTTGTTTATCTGTGATGGCAAACAACACCTTGTCAGTCATGAACAGAGTGCATTTGCACTGAGTAACTGCTAATTTCCTAACGTTTGGTATTTGGTGCCTATTGCTGGGTTTTGAGAGGCATTCCTGTACCGCATTCATAATCTCTGCTATTCATTATAAACTGGCTATTTTTTTTTTGTTTTTTTTTTTGGTCTTTCTGAGACAGGGTCTCCCTTTAGCCCCAGCTGTCCTGGAACCCACTATGTAGACTAGGCTGGCCTTGAACTCCCAGAGATCTGCCTGCCTCTGCCTACTGAGTGCTGAGATTAAAGGCATGCACCACCACGCCTGGCTCATAAACTGGCTATTTTAAGAGCAGAACAGGACTGATTTTGTTTGGTCATAAATTTTGTGATTTTTTTTTGGGGGGGTCACACAGAATAGTCACACTGAACATTGAATAAATAAAATAATAGGAAATTCCTGTCTACTTCAGCTTCCATTTAAAAAATATCAAAAGAACTGAGAGCTTGGTTTTCACAGTGGCTGGCATTCACTAGGCTGGGGTTAAGCATGGTATCCGGCCCATGACCAGATTTCATAAAGGATGGGATAGGAAGAGGTGCCCTGTCAGTTTCTTAGCCCTTTCAACATGTTTTTACCCACTTATTTTGTCTTTTACTCCATTTTCAAATTACTAAAATTAGGTAATTTATTTTTAAAGTCTCTGTTCATGAGACAAGAACAGTGTTTATTTAATCAAGAGAAGTTTTTTTTATAATTATATTAAACTTTGTGTTAATTCATTTATAGCTTGAAAAAAATTTTTTTTCATCACTGTCAAAACCAGTGACTTCTGTGCCGGGCATGATGGCACATGCCTTCAATCCCAGCACTCGGGAGATGGAGGCAGACGAATCTCTGTGAGATCTCCGCCAGCCTGGTCTACATAGTAAGTTCCAGGCTGGCTGGGACTAGGGAGACACTGTCAAAAATGAAAAATAAGAGGAAAAAAAACTGAAGAAAAACAAAAAAAAAGAAAACCAGAAGAAAACAAAACAAAACCCAGTGACTCCCATAGTACCCAGAAAGTCTTCTGAGTAAAACTGGCCTTTTACATTACAGTTTTAGTGTGTCTTTTGTTAGATGATTAGGTAACATGCTGTTCTGCCTTCTTTATCCTAGAAAGTATTTGGCTTCAGGAAATACTTAGCTGTTCTTGACAGTACTCAAAGGTAACAGGAGGATGTTTGGCTCTGTATGTTTGTTACTTCCATGGGTTAATTCAGAACTAAGTACATTTACTTATATTCAAGGAATTTGTGTTGCTGTTGTCAATGTATGACACACGGTTTTCTGCTAAACAGCAGTAAAATGCAGCAAAGCGTTAGCAGTTATATTGTCCTGGTCCGATTCCTTTAGGAATTTACAGATACATTTTTGGACTGTCAAAGGACTAACATGCCTTTACATTATTGTTGGGTGCCTCCCTCTCTTACCCATCTTGTAAGCTTTAAGGATGAGTTGAATTCCTTTTATTTAGAGGGTTTTATTTCATTGTTAATATGTAAAGTTATAAATGCTATAAAGTGTGTATTTTATATTCTTTAAATAGAGCATAAATAAAATGAGTTTGTTTCAAGGAAATCTGTATGTAGTGCCTTATGTTTAATATATGTTTTTTGAGTATATTGTTTGAATTCATAACTAATATCTTTGCTTATGATTAAACTTTATGTAAATAAAATCTGCCAACATTCCTAGTGTACTTATTACAGTATAAAGTGCAATACCAGTAACCTTCCAGAATGAACACACTGTGATAGATATCATGACTTGACTAATTTTGTAAAAACTTCATAGAAATAAATTCCAGATCTGTTTTTAGGCCAGGATTAAAGGTACATAACAACCAAATTTTTAAAATATATATAATATACAATGTAGTGTGAGAACATCATTGGCAAGAAAGCCAGAATAAATCTGCAGAGCCTGCACAACCAAGATTCAGTGGTCCGGAATAAAGGGAAGATGCTTAATAGACTGATTACAGAACACTGGGGTGTGGTTATGTCTATTCATGGTTTAACCCTTGGTGCTGAGTTCCTTGGACAGAATCATTTTCTAGGCTTCTGTTTCCTAAAGTTTGGATGTCAGTTTTGCCTCTGTCCTCACCTGTAGCATTCTTGGGTATCGTCACACTGTTTGTCTTCCAACACCATTGCTTGAGAGAATACGCGAGAATCTAGGAGATCTAGTCGGGTTCTGTGGTGCTGTCACACACGATGCCAGCTTGTACTTGGACGTCGGTAAGTGGAGAGTGCCTTAGTTGAAACTGCTTTTCCATTGATTCATGTCCCAAACTCAGAACTGCTTGGTAGGAAAATGCTAGACTGCTCAGGCTTTCTATGTATCTTCAATCTCTTTGACCTCTGAAACCTGCTTTCTACCATCAGTGCTGTTCTAGTTTGTTTCTCCATTGCTATAATAAAATACTCTGACCAATATCAACTTGGGGAGGAAAGGGATTATTTAGCTTATATCTCCCAGGTCACAGTTAATCACCTAGAGAGCCCAAGGTAGGAACTCAGGGCAGGAACCTGGAGGCAGGAGCTGAGGCACAGGCCATAGAGGAATGCTGCTTACTGGCTTGCTCTTCAGGCCCCTGCTCAGCCTGCTTTCTTATACAACACAGGCCCATCTGCCCATTGGTTACTCTCCCACATCATTCAGTAATCAAGAAGATGCCCCACAGACATGACCACAGGCCATTCAATGGAGGCACTTCCTCAGTTGAGGCTCCCTCTACCCAGGTGTGTCAAGTTGACACCTAAAGCTGTCCAGGAAAGCACATCAAATCTAGTGAGCTATCTCACTTCCAGGGTGGTGATGGTGACATGTAGCTATATACAGGTCTCCAGTCCAGACCTTCCTCCAGTCCAGTCCAGGGAATGTTCCCTGGTCAGTATCTTTCCATGTCCATCCTGCTTAGCCTCACTTGCCTGGAGTCAGGGATGGTGAAAGGGATCATGGAAATTTACTGCACACTAGAACTCCCCACTATACACACACATTTTGGAGGTTCATACAGGTCAAACAGTGCTCCTGATTTAGACACTGCTTGAATTTTCCACTGGAGAAAATGAATGTGGTTTTTTTCCATTTAAAGTTTCCGTGAAGGTCCCCCCCACATCCCCACATCTCACTTGCTTCCTTTTTTGACTCTTAAAAGGACATGTAGGAATTTTATTCTCATAATGGCAGACCGTGTGATTCAAACAGTCTTCTTGCCAGTGAGCAGAAAAGACGGAAGAATAGAGGGTTGGCGCTCAGGTATTGAAGAACTTCAGCGAAAGAGAAGAGTCAAGAGGCCAAGATTGAAAAGCTGAGTCTCATAAATGAGCGAGCCCAGTGGCATCCGTGCACCCTGGCAAATGCAGCTCAGGGCCAAGGACCTGCCTGGCCTGAACAAAGGGCCTGGAGAAGGAGGGGAAACAGGAGAGGTTTCCTTTTTTTTTTTTTTTTGAGTGTTTGTTTTGTTTTGAGACAGGGTCTCCTTGAACCCCAGCTGGCTTGGAACTTGTTATGTAGACCAGGCTGGCCTTGATCTCACAGAGATCTGCATGTCCCTGCCTCCTGAGTACTGGGATTAGAAATATGAGCCACACACTCTGAATCATTTTCTTTTTCATTGTAAGAGCCTACTACATATGCTTTGGCACCACTAAATTTGGAAATATAAATAAAATGAATAATTTAATTGGAAATTATTAAATAAAACTGACTCCCATAGAGAAAGCAAACAAAAATGGAACAGTTTACTTGCTAATTATTTTTAAAGTGAATTTTATTGCACATACATACAGCATGATGTCATGGTAAATACAGATATTAAAACGGTGACCATAGCAAAGCATATTAAACTACACCTGCCTCATAGGTACCCATAGCATTTTCAATATTTTATAAAGATTCAGAAAGTTACACACTATTGTACAAAACAAGTGTCAAGCTCCAAAGACAGTCCTTAGTGCTTTGAAAAAAAATCTATGTTACATTTGCCACTGCCATAAGAAAGTTTTAGACCTAGAAACATTAGTTTTTACTAATAAAAGCTTGATTATCAAATCTGATAGAGAACAACAACAAAAACCCATACACTCATCTTGAATGAGAAATTAGCAAAATGGAAAATTAATCCAACCATGCCAGTGGTTAGATGTAAGGGGACAGAACATTTGAAAGTTCAGAGATTGTTCTAAATTCGTTGGAAAAGCAGTATCCATAAATGCTCTACAAGAAAGCTGCAAATTGGAAGTTAAAGGATAGAAAATGTTAGGAAAACTATTAGGAGGCTGGAATAGTTATGTATCAAAAGTCCTCAGGCATTTCAGCAGTTGGAGAGGAACACTGCTTATGGTCAAAGGACCCATATGCAAGAGAGAGAGGCAGCATTACAGTGTTCATGCTCCAAACCACCTCACCATGAATGAAAAACGGATGGTACAGTGGCTGGAGAGATGGCTTGGGTTAAGAACCCTCTTAGGAAGAACACTTCAGAATCAGCAATTTAAGCTGCTTTCAGAAGCTAGCGACAAAACAAAGATACAGTGAAAATCAAGGAAATAGAAGAGACAAGAAGTTAATAAAACCAAATTTTATTTTATAAACATATTAGTAAAATGGACTCAGCCCCTAGTAAAATAACACAAATTAGAATAAAAAGAGAGTAGTCAGTACAGATCTTATATATATCAAAAAAGGATGACAATGACTTTGACAATCTAAATAAAATTGACAGATTACTTGAAAAAATATGACTTGCTCAAAAAACACAAAATTAAATAGAAAAGCTTAACCTCTAACACAGAAATGATCAAAAACATTCCTACAAAGAAAAATGTCAAGTCTAGATAGTTCCATTCATTAATTGTATCAAATAATATGAGATTTTTACACAAATTTATAGAAAATGGAGGAAGGAATGCAAAAGAAAAATACCAGCAAAAAAAATTGATCTCTATTCCTATGAATAAAATTTCTTAACAAGGGGCTGGAGAGATGGCTCAGTAGTTAAGAGCCCTGGTTGCTCTTGCAGAAAAATCAGATTGGATTCTCAGCACTCACTGGCAGCTAACAACTGTCTTAACTCCAGTTCCAGGGAATCAAATGCCCTCTTCTGGCTTTTGCACCATTGTATGCACAGGTACACTTACATATATGCAGGCAAAACATTTAAACACATAAAATTTCCTTGAGAAATACTGATCGAATTCAGTATTTCAAAAAGATAAAGCACTTAATAAGTGTTTGCCATAGGACTAAAACATTTTGATCATGTAAAAATCAATTTGTTGGGCTGGAAATATAGCTCAGTAGTTAAGAGCCCTTGCTGTTCTTGTGGAGGATCTGAATTCAGTTCCCAGCACCCACATTGGATAGCTCAGAACCACCTGTAACACCAGCTCCAGGGTATCTTGATGCCCTTTTCTGGTCTCCCTGGGTGGTTGCACTCATGTGCACATACACAGAGATAGGCATGCATACACATTTTAAAAACTCTGCTACCTTCTATATTAACAGAGCAAAAAAGAAAACATGGGGAAACATTTGGCAAAACAACACTCAAACAAAATGACTAAACTGGGAATAAAGAGGAATTTCCTTAATCTGGTAAGTAGCATGAATAAAATAAAAAAGGTTAAAGGGAACATCCTGAATGCTGAAGTTCTGAATATCTTTCTTCTAAGTGCAGGAACAACTAGTGTCCACTCTCCAGTCTTACATTCAGCACTATAGGTCCTTGCAAGCGTAAG